GAAATGCTGCCGGCAGATAAAATAGAAGCGTTGATTATACAAATGTATATTCCCGGGTTTACGTTAATGTTGTATTATGCTTTGTCGTGTTGTAAAATCTCTAAAATATGCCTGAAAACCTATTATTTTATTACTTCGACCTTCACAAAATGACATGACAGTCGTGTTCTTTAGTGGAAAAGAAGGGTGTGAGAATGAATCAAATTGGGAAAACTTTTTGTTAAGTACTCAAAAAATCCCGAAGATTTGTGTGCATAGAGAGTTTATCTTATCTAGGCTTATTTGTCTTGAGCTAATCCTCCTCTTCCATCCCATTCCGCAAGCATGCATGCTAATTTTAGCAAAGCAAGAAAATTGGGAAAAGAAATAATATTGTCGAGTGAAGTGGCACGATAATATGAAATATTTCATTCATCAAATTGATAACCTACCTACCTGAAATGGATTCATGAAAGAAAAAAACACAAACAAACACCAAGCACCTCACGTACTGAACAATGTTAAAATGAACCACTAAGACTTTAGAGTCATTCTACACAGTGTATCACTGACAACGCAAACCGAAATAATTATACATAGAAATGGGTGGCTCATAAAGTTAAGCGTAAAACCATTTCGTTCCATTCACCCTTATTTAAGCTGTTAGTGGCTATCGATTAAGAGTATATAAGTTAGAATGAAAATAAAAGTCTGCTGAGGAAAGCATAAAAAACTGGATATTTCGTCACTTGTAGCTTCTCACTTATCCTGGAAATTATTCCTTCACAATCATTGGAACTGCAACTTCTTTCACTTTTTCCGTCCCAACAAGTAATTCGACTAGTTTTAGTGCAAATTCTAATGCAGTTCCTGGGCCACGGCTAGTCACTATATGATCTGTTGTAACCACACGATCTTCAGAATATTTATATCCTGAAATTAAACACAGAGAATTTAGCTGAAAGTTTTCACTTGACAAAAAACTCAAATTTCCAGTAGAAAAGTAACTTTAAGTTTTAGTTTTCCAGAAAAGCAATAAAAGCGAAAGGAAGAGGCTGGCCATTTCAGCACGACCTTTGGTTAAGTGTTGGCAAATGTTATCGTTCAAAGAAATTGCATATATGAAACCTTTAAAAGATATATGATTTAAAATGATACGCAGGACTATGCTGCGCATTGAATAAACTTACCGCCTTCTACAAGCTTCGGTTTAACACTTGGATGTGACGTCAACAATATTCCCGGAGCAATACCGTGACTTTTTAGAGCGATCGGTGCAGCACATATCGCAGCTATGTAACGGCCACTTTCGTACTGAGCTCTAAGTATGGTACCCACTTCATCTGACTGAAATTAAAGGTACTTTCTTCTGCTAATGTCAACGCAGAAGTGGTCCGTGGAAACTAACTGACGAACAGTGTGGAAAAAAAAAACACTAATAAATTTTTTGACCAATATGAAATAACGCCTCAAATGTGATATTACTAATTCTTACTAAATGGTAGATTGTGCAGAAAAAAAAATTCCATAGCCAGAAAAATTTTTACTGAAACAACTACTACAATCACAGGGAAGGAATATGTAGACGAATATTTCAAAAGCCTCGAATTACAAAAAAAAGTGGCGTTGAAACTGCGAATGAGTAAAGCGTTAAATGTTGCAAACTTACTGCTGCAAGAGAATTTGCTCCTTGCATACCACCTGGTAAAATCACAACGTCGAATTTGTTATCCGCAACTTCGAACAAAGCTTTATCAGGCATAATCATCACTTTCCTCGAACATTTTACTGCATTTTTATCCAGAAGACCAACAATGGTAACCTGTAAAACAAATATGAAAAACTAGAAAATTTATGCTAAATAAAGCTAAAGAGATAAATATTGCTCGATACGAACGACAGCAGAAAAAGAGCAGCATTTGACACAAAATAAAAGTCCAAATATGTCAATCAAAACCATATTAATTAGATCAGCTGTATCTCTAAAAACGTAAAATGAATATCGTCCGAAACCTCAATTCCAGCTCGTCTCAAAACGTCAACCGGAATAACAGTTTCCATTTCTTCGGCTCCTTCAGCAAGTATAACCATCGCAGTTTTTGATGCCATGCCTAAGCAATTCACGGACATATATATAATTCAAATCAATGATTATTTTAAAATTCAAACAATTCTTACATTGAATGCTGCGCATTGTACATACAAATAGAATTTCTATACAAATACAAAAGCAAACTTTTGAACTGCTAACCATAAAATTTTGAAATACTAATTTTCCTAAAATCTATAGTTAGATTAATAAAGATGATTGTCTCTGGTTGCTATGCCAATTTAAACGTAGTAATAACGAAAACTGCACTGCAATCAACATCATACCAACAAAAATTAAGACTGAAGTTCAAGTCGAAATAACGCCAAACGCGTTAGAACAATAAGAACTAAATACAACAATTAAAAAGGAGAAAAAAAATTGGATGATGGAGGAAAAGATTCAGAAACAAAGAGATATCATAACAATCAGACCTTCCACAAAATAATGTAGATTTATTGACGATATTTCACGTATGTATAGCTTATTCATTAATTTATTATAATATTATAAACTTTATTTATACGTGTAATCACGATAACTCATGCGACTTTGAGCATATGACATGACTTTAACAAATACAACGTGACTTTGACACTTCAAACACGTACAACCCATACTGAACACGAATGTCACATGCTTTAGAAATCCTTTTTCGTTAGTAGTTGGTGCGTGTTTTCTTTTTTTAATAACTGTTTTTTTTTTTTTCATTATTTCAAATAATTATTTGCTATCATCCCAAAAAAAATTTCAATTGAAAGTTGGGAACTGTTTGATTTCCGGAACAACTGAATTTCAGGGCTAATTCTCTTTAACACGATTATCGAATTTCCGGATCAGTTCGTTTTTTTTTTGCACTAATAATTTATCCAATTAATTATATTAAATTTTAGTAGCATGAATGAGGTGGACATTATTAGCTGTTGGTAGAACAAAAATGATATGAATAATATAAAGAAATGTTTAATGAACCTCTGAATTCGTTGGTTTGTTTCCAATTATTTAATACGACTTTTCGAGCAATTATTCCACAAATACTAGCTAACTGAGATTTGTACAAAAGTAGCGCCATTTTTCTTCAAATATCTGCAAATTTTATGCCAGCTAACAATTGTTATATAAAGAAGCAAATAGTTTACATATTATTCAACACTTACTTTAACAATACCCAACTGGTACGTTTATTGATTGCATTGAAGGTTTATCAAATGATGTCCAGTTTTTATTCAAATTTATGTCACATTTTTCAGCCGTATCCTTTCTCTCTGCTGTTACTGACAATAACTAATCCAGTCAAATCCATAATTTATATCTATAGATTTTTTTTCTTTTTTTTTTTTTGCAAAAAAAGAACCAGTCAATATCAGAGATTGATTATTATCATAATTCTGATGAAATATGTATCAGGTCTTGCTTTAGAATGTAATTCTTGCTACTTCTTACTGCAATAACACTTATATGGATTGCATTTGGAAATGACTGTTCATACACCTTCATGTTAGCGTAATATTTATTAAGACTACCTCTAATAGGCTGCTAACATTTGTCAGCGCCAATACATGGAGATTTTTCCGGGCCAGTGAAAAATGGACGACGGTTAAACGTGATTTTAAGTTTTTATCAAACCATTACTTAAAATAATCAAAAATATCCTCCACTCTTCTACTACCTGTATTACCTTATCACTCTATTAGGTAATCTAGCTACTGTAAATAAGAGCGTGATAATATCTTACCATTGGGATATTAAAATTTATACTCATCTTCAAAACAATGTTAAGCCAACCAGGAGCAACAGGATAATACGAGATAATAACAACGACAACCGGATAAAGCAGGAAAAATGCAAAAGTGACAGGAAAACATACTATGAAACCCCACCACAATCATCTTCATTCGAATGAATTATCAGTTAGTTATCTTAATCTAGCTGATTTTTCCTGCAGAATTTGACCTGACCAAAACAATATGAGAGGTGACAAATATATTTTTAACCAATAATAAAACAATACCACGTTACAGTGACAACACCGGTAATCTACAACCAGATGATAGCATGTTTCTATCTGTGTTCACCGGAAGAGTTAAGATAAAGCAAAAGAAAAAAAAAGAAAGGTTTCAAAACATCACAAGTAAATAGACTGTAAATCTAATTCATCAAATCCTCAAAAACTGATATAATACTAGGTAAAATTACAAGATAAAACAATACTAGATAAAATCTGATTTCAAACAAATAAGTGAAAAAGGACAAGTGGGTGAAACTTTGAAGATATATAAATAAGTGATTTCATTGCTCACCAGTAATGTCAATAGTAGCAGCACGAGGAATTAGAAAAGTATATAGTCAAGTAAGAATAAACTACGAATGAACAACTCGAGAAATAAGCTGTTCTTTTTGAACAATTCTTAAAAAGACTGTTATTTTCACATGAAGTGTGGATCAAATAGGATCAAGCAAACTTATAATAGTAATAATCTTGTAAATTAGCGGGAAATTCACTCCGATCTAATCTCACTCTGAATAATTTGCCGATGATACATCAGTTTAATTCAATAAGTTATGAAATAGGGCAAACGGAATAGTCTGATAAATCAGAACCAACAGTTCCATTCTGATAAATTTGTGACCAGTATCTTCAACATATCACAAACTGCACTAAACAATCTGCTAAGTGTGTTAACATACACGATTGCGATAATAGGAAGATCGTGCTAAGCAGAAGAATTAAACATGTTTACCTTGGTAAAAAAAGGTCAATGTTAAATTTTTCTTTTTCTGATCTTTTTAAAGAGTACTTCGAATTTGCTCGACACCCAAAATATGCTTGAAATAGGCTGCATTGAGTTGCTCAAGTATGATAAATGTCAGCATAGTATGCGGGCCCATACGGAAATAATAGGGCGTGAAACCCTTCCACAACGAGAAAAATCCCTCATTACGTATAACTTTAGACCATACATCCCACATACCACTGTATTCTGGCTTCCCGTCTATTGTACGCATATTCTGTACCCTGAAAGAGTTTTTACTTCATTGATTGCCTTCATCATTGCTATCAGTATTAGATCAAGATTCATTCCATTCCCGTCCATACTATAAACTAAATTTACTGGCAAATGTATGTTTTACCCTTACTATAAGGATAGGGACTACACCAATGACATCTATTCATGAGGTGTTAGATATATGAATTCAAATGAAAACCAATAATCAGCCTCTCGAAAGTTTGGATAAGTCCAAGTTTTCGAGCAAATAAACTGATTAACCTCGTTTTAACAATATCAATCGGCATTGAAGCTACAGTTGTTGCAAAACCACTTATCATTGAAGCCGCGAACTGCAATGTCAAGCCTTCCTCGAAGAATTTAGTTGACAATAATGCTTCCTTACTTTGTGAGTAGATAGCTAATTGTGTTGCATTTACTGTCATTGCCCGAAGAACAGTTGGCCCACATCCCTGTAAATACAAATTCAGTAAAAGAATATAATCTCACCTTTTGAGAAAAGTGAAGCTTTACAAAGAACGTACATGGCTACAACAAATGTACTTACTCTCCACAGCGTGAAAACTCCTTCTTCCCGGATAACACGTAATAACGCATCCAAGACATTTTTATATCGTCGCCGTTGTTCCGGAGGAAGCCTAAATGGTAAACTTCCTTGGTAATATAATTAATGATTAGACATCGTGAAATAGGGGAAGATCTTCAATCTTCATCCAGGGAGTTAAAAGCAAAGCGAAAAAAGTATTTGTCATAAAGACTAGACCATCTGAATAAGAAACTGGAAAAAATGACTGGACCGTTCGCCACTTTCTGATCATCTAAGGTCGATGGTAGCACTATTATGAAATTTCGGTTTTCCATACTATGCTTTTAATGCTATTTTAATATGACCTACTCTTCCAATAATTCTATCTCGTAATGTAATAAGGATTACCGTCCATCGGCGCACATTCGAATAAGTGTTACTTCTGCGGGAGTACCAACGAATGATCCAACAGCACCAGCAGTTGAACCGATAAGAGCCTTTGTTCCAAAACTAGTTGTTCCATCTCTTCAGATTATGTTAAATCATAAGCAGTTTGGGAATTTGATAAGTGAGCTGATTGTAAAGTTCAGGGGTAGTGAATGGCATTTTGAAAAAATAAATGGAAAAATACCGCGACCTTAGTGAGAATTAGTTGTTTAATGTTTTTGGAACAAAATTAAAGTCAACCCGAAGTTAAAATTCCAGTTGTACCTCAAAAAAAAGAAAGAGGCATCAAAATATCTTCTATTTTTTCGTATTGCAAAGAAACCAACTTCGTAAAATGTTCAAACAGCCACGTATAGATGCCGAGACGAGTTGTCGTATAAGTAGCTTGACGTAGAAGACTAGCAGAAAGGCCACTATAAATCGCAAAAAAGCCTTCATTTGTTATAATACTCCTTAGGACATGTAAACTTGAACGAGACTCTTTTTTACCGGATAATCCATTAAGTTGCATGCGATTTTTACCAGCTAATCCACTAAGTTGCATGCGATTTTTCAGTAAATCCAAGGGATGCACTAACAAAGTAGCACCCATCCTGAAAGATAGCGAAATCGCTATTCACGCATCATCACATTAGCTACTTTTTAATTTTTTGTGCGCAAACAGAAAAACAAAGATTTGTGAACAATAATACTTTCAATTGGAAGAACTACTTACCCTGCGATTCCACCAAACGCAAACTTTACAATATTTGGAATCGTCACTGGATTCAACTTGTCCTTCGAATCCATAGCTTTCCCGTCACAGTCACTTGCAGCAATGTTTAACAGATTGTTGTTATTTTTCGAACTACTATTACGGTACCAGCTTTTTATCCGATACTTTCACCTTACAGGATCTTATTGTACTTTTCTTGCCTTGATGTCCTCCGATGATTCACATTCAACCAACTTAGCAGTTTCCATAAACTGAAATTAAACAGCTTTTCTCGATACCGGAAAACATGACCGAATTAAGAAGGGAAAGCGAGCAGGATGCACTTGAAGAATGATGAAACAAAGCAATAAGTGTTGTGTAAACATACTATATCTAAATGAAACTTCTCAGCTAAAAAGCAGAACAAATGCGGATTAAAGTTATTGAAAATCTCTATGTGTAGAGGATGAACAAATCAAAGTTTAAGAAGATAACCACGAGATCCGAACTATATTTTGCTAATGATCCTATTTGTAAACCAAAAGAACTTTATACTCAGACTAATCTGGGTAACATTTATGCAAAGAAAGTAGCTATAATATACATCAGGAAAATCGGCTTTAAAGGTTGACGATTAATGCTACGTGAGAATGAGAATGGACACGTGAGAATGAGAATGGACACAGGTCAGTATAAGGAGATGATTGCAAAACCCAACTGTATTTCAGCAACTGTTCTATCTTTTATAAGAAGTTAATTAATTTTACAGTAGCTTAACTACACCACATTAAAACATCCATTTTTATGTATCAAAGATCTAAAGGAATAATTCAGCTGTTTTAAATGAATAATTATCTATGATTGATCACTGCTGCACAATAAAACTATCCTTTTAGAAGAAAACAGTAGAAATACACTCATTAAGTATTGCTGAAACCAAATTTTCGGTGATTACAAGTAAAGGATAGAGTAAAATAAAGAAAAAAACACATTATATCCATAATTTGTCAGATCGAAATTATCGGGTCTTCGATAGAGATGTACCCCAAAAAAACAGTTGAAAATGTTAATTTTGTAAGACTGTGCCGAATGTTTCCTCATTGACTACTGTCAAACTAGCAGTGGATTCAGCTACATTTGGCAGAAAATTAATCGAATAACAGGCGGATAAATTTGGCAGCGATTTGGCTATCTTCGATTACAAAATGTCCTTTCGCTTCCATTTTCACTCTATTTTTTAACCGGTTGATATAGAAAAGTACAGAAGGTAGCTTAAAAGAACATTAACATGGAAACTGAGGACAAAAAACACTAAACAGTCGGTGGTAGATGCCATAGAGACCAGAGAATATTTTTCTTTGGTCTCTATGGTCAAAGAAGACCAAAGAAAAAATATAAGCAATTAATATCAACAGAAAAAAAAAGAAAAATGAACATTTGGATTCAAACAAGAATAAGTGAACAAATTGTCAAACTTTAAAATTACTGAAAAATAACAAGAGACATTTCTGTTTACATCTCTCTGTCTTTCAGTAAATAAAGACCGTACACCAAAAACAACTATCTGAAAAAAAATAACTATCTACATCCTTTCTCGCTCGCAAATAAAGGTAACATAAATAGAACTCCGGTTGAGTTTGAATAACGCTATCAGCCTAGTGATAAATACTCAGTTGAATAAAAATATCGCGTGGGAATATCATCCAAAAATTACTTTCAACGTTGATATCTATGATTTTATATGTTTACCATAACAGAAATATTTAGCGTAATATAACCCAGTCATAGTTTTCACTGATTTGCGAGATCAGCTGAGTGTGACGTAGCTCTCACTTACCTTTGCCAATATGCAAGAATATGAGCAAAGACTTTTAATGTCGGAGAGAACGCAATTACTATCGAAAACTCGAATGATTAATAACATCAGCAAAATTGGAAAGATTCAGGTACATCCAAACACGTGAAACTGAAAAGGTTGATAGATTTCTATAGTCAAGAAAGAAGTGTGGTTGAATATTGTCGTTCCAATGTTTCTCAAAAAATAACAGAGCGGATGACTGTCAACTTGAACTGTATGCAAATCTACTACCAATGCAATTAGTCGAACAGATATGTACAACAACCAGATCAATCATTCATTTAGGCGAATAAAAAAAATAAACAAGAAGAAAGCCGTCATAACTAGAAATTGATAGCATTAAACAATCGAAATACTCAGCCAATCAAAATGAATGAAACAATCACGTGATCGTTGCAAAAACAAAATGGCTGTTGGAGCAAATCTTAAGAAAATCACCGAATCAATAGCAATCTTTGTCCATATTTCCGCATAATAACAAAGGCAAAAGGTACAAGGGAATTATGCCATAACCAATTGAACTCACACATTTGCAAAATATAACTTCATTTAAATTTTATAGATACCAATAGTAAAAGTGATAAATTTTGAGCGATATTCTCAGCTCATGTTGATATTGGTAACATGTACAAATAACTACTCTAGATTCTATCATTAGATTTATCACTATCTGTATTGTGCATTCTGGACACTGTAATCAGTTTTCTCGACAACTGTATGTCTGTGTACTGTAATTAGAATTTTGACAAAACTTTAAAATTAGGTTTGGCTAGTCAATGGATAAAAATGTCTGGGTCTATAAGACACAATTTTCTCGGTTATTTCAGCAACAAAACTGAACTACAAAAAAAAAGAAAGATATGCCGTAAACGAATTATTCCAATCGATCATAACAGTTATGCAACAAAAAAATAATAGTAACCTCGTTCTCATCCAGGCGAATAGTTTTACCTCATGAAACATTAGCGATAATCGCAAATACTTGTGACCATGTTGAAGATAAATAAAATTCCAGATTAACATCATTATACCACCGATAATACCTAAATATTAACGATTATAAATATACTTAATGATTTGTATAGCTATTTCTTGATATTCTGTGGCTGATGTAGGCAACAACATACCGGACCCGATCAATCTTACCAGTTTCCCATTCCCTCTGATTTTTCTGCATGATATCGGTAATTGTGACTTATCCGTGAAGTAATCCGGTAATATTCAGTGCGCATTTCATTTTCCCATTAGAAAGGAAATATTTTCGATGATATATCACAACACTGCGACGAAATGCTCAAGTAGACCTTCTTGTTTTGCTATTGTTTTTGCCTTCATTTTCCTCTCTTTTTTCTTTTCCTTGATTTTGCAAAGTTCATGAGAGAAGAGGAATTAGTTTCAAATTCTAATCAGAATTATTTTTAAGCTCTTTTTTTTCCATTCACTCATATTCCATTCCCTTTCGTACTTCGTCAAAATGATACGCTTCTCATATGACACCAAGAAAAAAACGTACAAATGTCACTGCAAACAAAACTTATTGATTGTACTATATGCATCATCACTTTTGCCCATAATCAATTTCTTTAATTCATATATATTCCCATACAATATATCAGTAAAGTCAAACATTGAATTGAATTTCGCATAATAAAACAATTTACCATTATGTGATCCCTTTATCTGCGTGAAAAAAAATATATTTTATCAATCTCTTCCTCTTATAATCTTTTATAGTCACTGATATCTCCATGATTATATATTGGTTTAGCTTATTCGCAATGCCTGCTAATAATTTATGCGTCTTTATTAATCTATATCTCTTATAATCTTTCAATCCTAACGTCCTCAACTTTGTCCTAATTATATAGAGTATTCTCTCAATATCTGCATCACCTCCTCCAAGATCAACCTCACCAATCACTAACATACCTAATTATTTACTATATTTGAAACCGATGTTGCATAGTCGTCGCAACATATGTTGCATCGTCTCCACACACAACAAACCATGAAATAAAGCGTTGCAAATCTTATTTGTAGTAATTATGACTAACGGTATGTTGTGGAAATACTTTTGTTTATTTACGTACATGCGTATATATTCTGTAAACATCGGTGTTTTTATTAGCATAAGCAAGTAGGGCGACTGGCTTTGGAATGTTTTAATTTCTCGAATTTCCAAATAATGGCTCATCTATTGAGAGAATGAGAAACTGAACTAGATAATTTCTTGCCATTTTTCAGGATAATGTCATGTACAAGCCAAAGATGACAACGCTGTGAGGAACTTATTACAATACACAGCTGATTACTTTTTTGTAGCATATCGACAGCACTGACGAATAAAATTATAAAAATGGCTGTTGTAAATGACACTAATCGCAAGGTTCATTTTCAAATATTGTCACATTGCTTCGATTGTCACAGTCAAAAGTATTAACTTTTATTTTCAGGTTGTTGAGTTATTTTTAGGATCAGTTGGATGAAGTTCAAGCACTGGAAAGTATATATTCTGGAACACCAGAATGGTTCTCCTACAATATAGACAACGATTCACACATTAGAGGCTGTATAACTGTTGTATTACCTAAAGTAGAAAATGGCATTGCTGTGCAAGCAGGTTTGAATTTCAGGTTTTCCCACATGTTTTGCTGACCCATTTTTGCTTTTTCATGATACATTTGATTTCACATAATAATTCCTTATCAAATAATAGGTGGTGTTAATAATAGGCCTGTTAATTGACTATAGATGCTTCTGTAATTTGTTTCGCTAACATTTACAGTGATATTTTTTAGATGGGAAAATTATTCACATCTGTCATCTTCCACCTTTATCGCTATATTTCACTTTTCCTCAGAATTATCCGTCACATTCCATGCCACTATTTTCCCTTTATGCAGATTGGCTTGATTCAGTTGCTGTATGTTCCTTTATAAGATTTCTGTTAGATATGTATCATTTTCCTTAGTTTTTTGGAAATGTTTTATATGTGACGTCCAAATTCTGAGTCTAAGATTTCTGTGAAACTAGTGGTTCATGGTTTTCTATTGGAATGAGTTTTGTTATTAAAATAACAAGCTTTAGTTTTCAGAGGCGTCGACTGAAAGAAATTTTAATTGATTCGTGGACGAGCTACTGTGGTATACCTATTTTATTCACGTGGATTGAGCTGCTGAAGGAGGAAGCTATGCAGATTGTGTTATCTCAAAAGAGTGTTGACTTAAATAAAATTGTTTCAGAGGGAGACGAAGTTGAAGCAGTAAGCTTTTAATTTTGCTCTCATCCACATCCTTCATCACCATTCTGTTTTGTAAGCTGCACATTATATAAATTTCATAATTTCCAGGTAAAAAAGACTCAGCTGAACTTCTGAAAACATTTATTGAGTTTAACGATCGGGCGACACAAAATGATTTCGAGAGTGAGTGGTATGATTGCGAGGTAGTCTCATCAAACATTTTGGTCGTCGAACATTTTTAAAAACTTTTCATCTGCCATTATCCTGAACACATTTTAAAATTTTTGGCGTGCCATTATGGGCTTAGAAACATTTTCGGCTTTTTTTTGCTTAACAAAGAACATCTAGAAGTGTCGATTGTGACGAATTTATTTGAATTACTTCATCTTTTTGACCTCTCCTACATATCTTGCAGAAAAAAAGAAAACAAACAAGGCAGTTGAGATGTGCTGGTTCTTTGAATTCCAAATTACTGCTTACTATATGCTCAGCATATTCATTTTTGAAATAGCTTAAGGGAACTAAGTCAGGGATCATGGCCGTACCTTGTAATGTTTATTTATTTGTTTATGACCGAATTTAGGAGTACCTATTTTTGAAATAGCAATATCAGTTTCAATTCTTCAAATTACTAACAAAAAGTGCAATGCATCAGCAATGCCTTTCAGGTATGCTTTAGCTCAAAAAGTGGTAAAGAATGTGTTAGATTTATGCCATGTGGTCATGTCTTTTGCATGGAATGCACTTCAGATTACTACCGCCAAAAGCTTCACGATAATTTGGTATATTTTAACACCACAGTTACCGGTGCTAATTACGTCTAAACCACGTTTTCAAATTAAATAGCAAAACAGCAATATAGCAATGTATATATGTGGTCGTAACAAATTAGCCACACTATTTTCTAGGGACTATCATCACTACTTTCGTGAGCTAGCAATTAGACTATCTTACATAAATGCTCACAGATGATGTTATTTCTATGATTTTTTTTTCAGATTCGGCAGTTACAGTGTCTAAATAACGGATGCGATAGCTCTGCGACTCAAACACAAATTCGGCAGGTGTTAACTGATAAAGAGTTCGAAGTTTACGAACAACGCTTGCTGGAAGGGGCATTAGATTTGATGTCCGACGTAGTTATATGTCCGAGGATATCGTGCCAGGCTCCTGTTATTGTTGATGGTGAAAATTCCAGGTATGTCACTTATTGTGGACATCCGAGTGATAATCGATACAGTTTAATTCAGTTAGACATGGACATAATTTTTCGTTGGTTCATTTCTTGCAATTTAGTTGTCTTACTGAATATCATAGCTTTTTTTGAGGTTGACTTGTTTGCGGAGTGGTTTGACTTGTTTCTGTGGTCAAGAAATGATTAACCGTGTGCCGTAAATATAGAATGTGACTTAGTATCACCATCATTTTTTATTATGTAGTGCATGTACAATATTTTTAACCATCATACAGGTTATTTCATTTCAGTTTGGCAAGCTGTTCACTGTGTCACTATTCATTTTGCATGCTGTGCAAAAAAGCTTACCATGGTATAGAATTATGTTCTTTAAACGAAGGTGAGCATTCAGTTGCTTAAATTTAGTGGTAGTTGAAATTTTTTTGTTGTAATTTTGTTTCAAAATTTTTGTTTTTTTGTTGTTTTTTTTTGTTTCTTTGTAATGATCAAATCAAAAGGGTTTTTTTTTCTCCTCTTGGATATTATTCGTCCATATTTTGTTCGCGTTTGTTATCAGCTACCTTTCATCTGACTTTCAGAATCAAGAGGAAAGATGTTGAATCAAGTGGCAACTGCAACCCCTGCTGAGTTGGACGAAATCTACAGAAAATTTGGTGGCAAAAAGCAGTTTGAACGAATGATTGAAGCATTGAAAAGTGAAGAGTGGATAGGATGTAACAGCAAACCTTGTCCATCGTGCCAGGCCAAAATTGAAGTGATTATTTTTCTGTATACTTTTTTTTTTTTGGAAACCTGTGAAAGCCATTCACGCGCCATGCACTGTTCTTTCGCATACTTTTCAGCATGGCAGCATCATCGTTATGAGTAAGTAAGAATGACTAGGGGAAATCAAAAGACGTTTTATACTTCCGAATCTGTTCAGGCAGTAAGGAATAAGCAACTGAACTGTACAACTGTACCACAGAGTGTATTTAGCAAAATATCTTAATAGCTGTTAGCATAAATTAAGTCCTTGTCGCATGATCCGTTTATTGCACCTCCAATGGTACCAATGCGGTATTGGTGCAGGTTCATTTTCGATGGTTTGTTTCCACATACATATTGTATAATTCTTATTTTGGTACCTCATATTGTTCCAATTTAACTATTATTTTCTTAAAGAAAACCAGCGGTTGCAATAAAATGATATGCACAAAATGCGGGCATTATTTTTGTTGGCTTTGCGGTATTGCATTAAATAAGAATGATCCGTACAGCCATTTCAATACATCTGGTCCAGGAAGTTGTTACAATCGTTTGTTTGAAGGTATGATTTTTTAATATCATTTTATAATTTGAAAGTAATCTGTTCATGCGGAAGAGAATATCTGCCAAAGAAATAATAAATGCAAAAAAAAATGTTTTATAGTGGAGGCTTCGTTTCAGGTGTTGAGGATGATGATAATTACGGTGTTGTTGATGATGACGTGGAAGATTAATGACTAATCGCTTGACGACACTACTGAGGATAGATATTAAAATACTGGTTAGAGAAGTTTTTTCGGTTAGGTTTTGAAAACCCATCAAAATTACTGAGGAGACGATCATGCATCAGTCTTTCAGTTATTTTGTTTTTTATATTTGCTTTTTTTTTCTAATTTTAGATTTTAAAAATTATTGGTTTTGTTTCAGTACTGTTGTGGAGTTGATCTAACAGTATAGTATCAGGATATGGTTCTATTTCAATGTATTATAGCTTATACCGGCTTCAAACGAGTCTGTTATTGTGTTTTACTGTTTATATACGTTTTCCTTTATTCGGTTGATAATTTTTATTTTCCGTTTTTCTAGTGCTTTCAATTTTTTTCATGTACTTAGAATAGTTTTTAGCTGCACAGTTCATTTTTGTCTTCTTTCTTTTTTGATTAAAATTCTGTATGATAGGAAATTATCTGCAGTTCATCATTTTTGCTGTGATATCTTAATCGATTATTGGTCAGATACTGAAATAAATAATACAAGATAACCTTTTCACAATCTGAGCTGGCAGCTGTAAAAAATTGCTTTAATTGTATGATTACTTAGTTACTTAATTCAGGTTGTTCCTTACTTACGATGAAATTCGTTTTATGACTATGACTGAATCAAATTTTGTGATTATTCCCAAATAATTTTATTGCCGGATAATTTTATTTATTTCTATTGCATCTTGAATAAATTTTCGTTTCCCTTATATCCCATTACATAATGGCTTTGTCCTGTTAATTCATGTTATAATTTGAATTTAGTTTCGTAATGTAGCTCAATTCAATGATATTAGTAGTGTGGTGCGACACTGATTGATTGAGAATAAAACTAATAAATTCAATACTTGATAGAAAGTACTGATTAAACCAATAAAATAACAATGATGCCAAAGAGAGTGTTGTGATTCGGAAAAAATGCGGTGATACTTGATGTGTGATCTAATCTCATGTCATGTAATGATATATGCCAAGTGTTCCATATACTTTTGTCGTTAAAAATTTAAACTTTTTCAAGATATGCTTTCTGAATATAATTTGGCTAACCAATTTATAATTGACCTTTCCTCAACCTACACAGACGGGTTATTGGGTCGATTGAGTTTCTTGGAGGTTTTTCATGCTTATATGTTGGAGTTACTGAGAGTTAAATTAATAATGATAATGATGTGGACCTAATGGGACATAATATTGAAAGTGATGTAAGGAGTTTTTGTGTTTTTGGTTTGTTTTATTAATATATCTGAAGTACTATTGATCGAAACATACCATACATTTATAATTACAGGAATAATTGTCTGGTGAGGATCTAATGCCTTCATTAAATTGGAAACATTATACATTTCTATTTGCTTCCATTTCTGGAACGCCAGTTTTCTGTTATTGGTATTACAGCTTACCGCATGTAGTAGATCGATTTGTTAGTTTTTTCCTAGTTCATATTCGGTTTACTTCAAATAAAGAGCTGGCTAGGTATATTTCAGACCGAGAAGTGGCTGATAGAAGAACCGGAAAGGGATAACCGAGAGTTTCACGATTTCATGAAAGAATTATCAACAGTACAGCAAAAAGTCGATCATGCAGAACTTATGGGAAAAGTTGCGGTTGAGGAGGCACGAAGACATGCGTTACGCTAGTGATTGAAGTCATTTTTTAAATTTTATTTGCAGTAAATTGGAGTAAGGCTACACTTTATTGCAAGCGACGAAAAGCTGAAGCTTAGAAGCATAAATTTTTGCAAAAAAAAAAAGATAAACTTTAGCAGTTAATAAATGGATGATAGTGATATACAGATATACAGTATTAAGTTTTATAAAATCCATTTCTATCTAATTATAACAATGCTACTCTTTTTTTAAAAAATTTCTTTCAATATTAATTAAGGATTTTTCTTTTATAACAAGTTTTCATTACTCAAGAAAATAGCCACAACAATTATTCCATCATACTTTAAATATCACTTATATATTTCAAAATTTACAAAGTAATCTTTTTTCTCCTATCTGCCCTGTCCTTTTCCAAAATATAAGTAAACGTTTTTCAAAATTTTTAAAGGAACTTCTAATCGCTATCATACATTCACAATTTATGTAATTTTACAAATAAATACTAATTTTTTCGAAATTTTCGCAAAAAAACCTAAATCACTTTAATTCACAATAGTAATTTTCCAAATAAAATTAATCCAAAAATGTACGTTCATTGCAAAGAAATTTGAAAATTAAAAGAGACGAAGAAGAGCAAAATACTCATAATACTTACTGATAATCCCTGCTGTTTTACGTTGTATACTGCTTGTTGCAACCGATGAAAAATCATTATCCACTCTTTTTTGATCACTATAACGATAGCGATTATCTACTAGATATGATGAATCGCTTATAATTAGTCGTCTAATTCTACACCACATCGCACAATAGTTTAATAATGATAGCAGCAACACTAAAATTCGATAAATTCTGTTATCGGAGTAATAGCTTAACTACTTGATTATTTAGCAATGTAACAAATGACCAAGGTGGATATATAGTATTAGAAAAAAAAAAGAAAAAAAAGAAACAATATTGCGTCATTTTTCCAATATTAACAGTGTCAAACATCGGATTCAAAGTTTAAAACGCCACGCTAAAAGCTAGATCATTTCATCCACTTCACTTACTTATGTGTGATGGAATACAGATCAGATTAACCTGTTGTCAAGACTAGATTACGATAACGCTTACCAAGCTAACAGTTTATTTTTTAAAAGCACTAAACCGCAAACTTTAGCAATAAACCGCAAATTGATAATAATACCGTCATTATGGTAAATGCAACCTTCTTTTCAAACAAAATGGCATTCAGGAAATTTAAAGACTTATCCATCTTATATAGATTAAACATGTCTT